GACGATGATGATGATGATGATGATGATGATGATGATGATGATGATGATGATGATGATGATGATGATGATGATGATGATGATGATGATGATGATGATGATGATGATGATGATGAGGAGGAGGAGGAGGAGGAGGAGGACATGTTCAACCCAACATCTAGTGACCATGCTGCAATACACCCTCTTGTGTCAAGTCCCCTGCCCGCTCAGTCCTGGCAAGATTGTTTTGCGCTTCCCTTCGAAAGACGAGTGCCCCCACGGGCCCGCAATTCAGGCGGGAGCTCGGGCGTTCGCCGAGCGCGTTCCACTATTCGCAGAGTGCCTGCTCGCAAGCGTCAGGAAAAAAACGCATGTGTGCCTCGATGTAATGGATCGTAAATCGCCCGCGGCGGATCAAGGCCGTTTGCGAGTAGGTACATCATTTTCGAGTAGTGGGACGCGCTTGTCTAGACGCGAAGGGAGTTGACACCATCTTTTGAGATACCAAGGGATGCGACCAGGCTGGTTCACAGAGTTGAAGATGCTGCCCAGCGAAAGCCTCGCTCCGAGATGGAGCCGCCCTCCGTCCGTGCAGCTGTTGCACAAGTTTAGACATGAAGCGATCGGATCGGAAAGCTATATTTCCGTTTTGAGCAGGACTCGCGCTGCATCCGTGTAACAGTTGCGAAGTATATCCAAGCCGCATAAACATTGAGGAGGTCTCAGGCGAAGGAAAGACAACGCGCACTTTTTGTGTAACCTATCGACACGATTCAGACGATCATGTGCGGCGCTAAAACGGCAGCGCCATTTTGAACACGATTCGCCCTCCGTTGGGGTATCACTTGAAGCTGAAAGACGAATGTGTGCGGCGGAAAGGCGCGGCGGAAAGGCCGGCGCACCATCGTGTACATAATTCGCCCGTCGGGAGTGTAGTTTGCTGGCGGGTTATCTCGAGACGTGTGTACGTAGCGCCCAGGCGAGAGCCATATTTGGAAAGATCCGCCCTCCATCCGTGTAGTAGTCAAGCTTCAAGACGTTACGCAGTGTATGGTGGTGCGACAGGGAAGGGTTATTGTTGAGGAAGAGTGAGCGGGCGATGAAGAGGAGGAAATGGCCTCCTCATCCCTCGACCTCCCGCACATTTCAAGGCCTCCTTGAACCCCCTCACCCCACCCCTGAGGACCCTTCAGAAACCCGCAGATGCTCCTGAAACTATTCCCTGGGCGTCGTATTTCCAGACCCACATTCCAAGCGGCAGATGGGCGGCGATCAGTTGCCACAGGCGTCTTCGATTATAATTTTTATGTCCCTTTTCCTGTTCCTCGTGCTCCTTTGTTCTTTTATATATTATCCTCGCCCCTATTGTCCACGATGCCACATGGTTGCTCATTATTCATGTTGGCTGAAGCAAGTGTGGCTCCATCAGCTGCACGAGAGGCCGCAGCATCCCGAGGCAGTCGCTGTTAGCAGCCTTCCTTGCAAGCCATCCACCTTCCCAGACAGCTTTCAGGACACCATGCGGGAGACGATCTGCATCCACATCGGACACGCAGGTGTTCAAGTTGGGATTGCCTGCTGCGAATTTTTCTGCCGCGAGCATGGCACATATATATATAGCCAACATATCCAATGCAGCTTTAGGCTTGTGCCAACATAGCTTTCGGCTTGTGCCATCAAACAAGCCCCAGCGTGTTGTACTTGCTGAGGCAGGAGAGTTTCGACATCTTCCTGTATGCTTTCCATATTTACCACAACGGGGCACTGCCCGATATCTGCAGGCGTAATCTCGTCATCGGGCGCCCCACCTACACGAAATCGAACAGGCTTTTGGCCCAGATCATGTCCTCGCTGCGTCGCTGCGCTTTGACGGCGCGCTCAACGTGGACATCACGGGGTTCCAGGCGAACCTGGTGCCGTACCCGCGCATGCATTTCATGCTCTCGAGCTACGCGCCAGTGATCTCTGCAGAGAAGGCGTGCCGCGAGCAACTATCTGTGGCCGGAATCACAATATCCGTTTTCGAGCCCGCGGCCATGTTTGTCAAGTGAGACCCCTGTCACGGCCAGTGCAGGCCGGGCTGCGTGATGTACCAATGCGACGTGGCGCCTGAGGACGTGAACGCATCGATTGCCTTGACCAAGACGAGACAACAGTTCAGTTTGTGGATTGGTGTCCAACTGGGTGTCGCGCAGCCAGCGCCGAAGGAGGGCCAGGGCTGCCCGGGATCGTGGCATTTGACGACGTGGCGCCCCAGCGTCATCGGCTCCCACATTTGCAGTGTCCCGGGGACCACGCCTGCGCCTGTGCAGGTTGCTGCTGATGTCAGGAGTTTACTCAAATGCATGGGTGGCTGGTAGTTCAATTCACATTCTGGTGGTTAGTTTGATTCAGGGCGAGGACAAGGCTTTTCGTCACATGCTTTTGTGGTTGGCCGCTCTGGTTTGCACAGTACCTCTGGCCATGTGCAGGGCATGACATGCATGCACTGGCTTTTCTGCAGGGCGAGTGGTACGCCATTGCTTCGCGCCTGTCTGGACCTCCCCTCCGCGGGGGGTTCGGTCTGCTCGCCTTCAAGGGTTGCCGAGGGAGGGGGGGCTCTTTATGACCCTAAACAATATCCGCTCAGACAAGGACGGCGATTGGTGTCCAACTGGGTTGGAGAAGAGATTTACAAGCCAAGCAACACAGAGCATACGACTGGGTGAAGAAAGGGAGCCCCGCCGAGACCCGGGGCACCATGAAGAGACGGGACGGCACCGCCACTGCGAACATCCCCGAGCAGCTCACGATGGTCGCCGACGCTTTGCGACCCATTCTCGAGCGCTTCAAGCACAGGGAGCCCTCGGTGGACACCTTCATGGAGTATTTTGGGCCTCACATGCGGACGCACCCGTGGAGGACGGAGAGGATCACAGGACACCAGTTGGTGAAGGTCGTGGCGGCTCTGCCCAACTCTTCTAGCGGCCTGGATTCTTGGACGGCGGAGGAGCTGAAGGTCTGGGCTCGGTGGCACCCGCGTCTCCTTGATCAGCTGGCGTCTGTTTTCGATGCAATCGAGGCCGGGGCTCCGTGGCCCTGCGCGGTCACGCAGGGGTACATTGCTTTGTTCCCGAAGGACGCGAAGGACGCGGAGCCTGAGCCGACAGCCCTGCGGCCCATAGCTGTGCTCAGTATCCTGTACTGGTTATGGGCGAAGCTACGTTTCAATGGTGCCATGGATTCTTGGCAGGAGCACCGGGTCCCCGAAGGAATCTGGGGATGCCGCCGACGTCGGGGAGCTGAGGGCCTCTTTTTGGGCGTGGCGCTCGACATGTGGAGCAGGGCGGCCAGGGGATGCGAGCGGGTGGCGCGAGCTACGACTTCAAGAAGGCTTTCGACTACATACCATTCGAGCTCCTTTTCGCCGTCTTGGCGCGGCGCGGCATGTGCCCGCGGGTACTGCAGGCTATGCGTGGATTTTACAGTCAACTTCGGCGTTCCTTCCGCATGCGTGTGGCCATGGGCGCGACCCTCGAAATCTTTGGTGGCATCGTGTAAGGGTGTCCGATCTCCATGCTGGGCCTGAATGCGCTCGTCAGTTGCTGGGTCGAAGCCGTGCGAGCCAAGGTGCCTGCTGTCATCCCGCGCGCTTACGGTGACGACATGTCGGCGACGAGCAAGGCGCGGGGCGGGGCGAGGCTTTTCCAGAACGTCCAGCAGATGCACGAGATCACCCGCGAGTGCGAGAGGCGGTCTGCCGGTCAGGTGTCGGCGGAGAAGAGCTTCACCTTCGGCGATGAGTGCCTTCGCGGCACCCTGAATGGTGTCGACGGCCATCAGGGTACCCTCCGGCTTGTGGGCGGGTCCGTGGCGGTCCGGGCGGAGGCTGAGACGTGGGCGCAGTTGGGGGCGAATCGCGTGGACACGTACACGGCGACGGTGCAGCGCGTCCGTCGTGTACCCGAAGGTTCCTACGGCAGGGTCCGGATGCTCAGGACCACAGCGACGCAGGCGACATTTGGCCAGGGGTCTCACCGCGTGCCTGGTACCCCGGTTGCTTTGCAGAGGCTGCGCACGGAGCTGCTCGTGGCGGCATGGGATTTGGATAAGTGCTCCAGCTGCGTGCTGATCTCGCTCGCAAATCTGATGCCAGTCACCCTGGACCCGTTTTTTTTGGCTTCTTGTATGCTGGGCTCAATAGCATGCGCTGGGCCATGAGTGACGCCGTGGCCAAGTGCCAGGTCCAGACTGACGTTGCAGCGCCGGCCAGGGGCACAGACGGCCCGGTGGCTCGCCTGCGCCAGGTCATGGAGTTCGCCGAGCTCCGGCCTTTCGTCGAGCAGATGGTGCACCAGGCGGAGCTGGACGTGGACGCGTGGTGCCGTGGCTTGAGGGATGCGTGGCGTCGGAGGCTCTGGCGCCAGCTTCTGGGCGGGCGCGCCTCGTGCCGGGGGGTCGAGCGTGGGATCGACCGCGAGAAGGTCACGAGCTACTTGCAGACGCAAGCCGACAGGCTCCAGTGCCAGCAAGACAGCGGCGACCTGAAGGACGTGCCGTCGTCGTCCGACGACCCGCGGGCGAAGCTTGGCGTGCTTCGGCGCCTCATGGCGGGTTCCTTGCTCACGAGTGACAGGCTGGCCCGCAGTGCGGTCGCGGCGGCAGGCGTAATGTGCCCCTGTGGCCTCGGCAGAGAGACCATCGTCCACGTTTCCTGGGCGCGCCCGCAGCAGAGCACTTGGCGGGCGCCGGCTTTGGCCGCCTTGGGCGGGCCGTGCACCGACCAGCCCATGTGCTTCCAGTGCGCGACCGTCGTGCCAGAGGCGTACGCGCTGACCACGGCGCAGGTGGTTGAGATCCAGAGATCGCTGGTGGACGTGTGGCAACATCGCGCCCACGCCTGGCACGAGGGCGACGCGGCGGAGGAGCCTGGCCCGGGGCCTGCGCCGCCGGGCGCTGGAGGGCGGCGACGGCTGACACGGAAGGTCGCGCCTGTCGGCGCCGGGCCGCCGCCGCCTGCGCCGGCGCCAGCTGCCCGGGGGGGCGCGAGTGGCCCGCGGAAGCGAGGAGCTGCTATGCGTGGCTCTGCCAGGACTGACGACGGCCACCTCGTCCGGGTGATCCCCGGCGGCGGCGGTGTCTTCCGTCAAGTGCGGCGTGCAGACCGCGGAGATGAAGGCGGGGCGGCAGAAGATCACGCGCAAGGCTTGTCCGCAGAAGGATTTGCCTCAATCGCAGTGGCTTTCTCAGCTTGGTTTGCGGCGGAGCTCCGTGCGCTTGCAGGGCGTCGAGAAAGAGCTTCAGAAATGCAGCGCCGGCAAGCGCGCGCTGAAATTGGCTGGCAAGCTCGGGGAGGTGCCTTTCGCGGAGGACGAGCGCCGCTCGTGCTGGAAGGACAGGGCCAGCAATTTTGCCCGCGCCAGGTGCGGCGGGAATGCGCAGGCGGCGAAACGGGGGCGGCAGAGGGGCACGTAGGGCATCCAGAAGTGGATGGCTTCGCATGGTGGCAGTCACGAGCTCGTCTACGAGTCCGGGAACTTGCGTTGGAAGTGTGGCAAGTGCACTGTCCGTGGAGCCCTCGGTTTCGGGGCCCGCTTCGAGGCTGCCGTGCGTGTGCCTCGTGGAAGGGGTCATAAGCGTCCCTCGCCGCCGCTGCCGGCCCCGCCTCGGAATTCTGGTCAGAACGCGTCCTTCGCCGCCGCGGCCAGATCCGCTGCGGAACTCGGGCCGGAGAAGCGCCGGAGGGTGACGGAGCCGCATTCGTCGAGGTTCCCCAGAATTAGAATAGGCTGAGCAACGCAGGTCTGGATGTGGTCAGCTTTATGCTGGTACGGCTCGGACAAGGAAGGCGATTGGTGTCCAACTGGTTTCGCGGTCGGCATCGCCCACCAGCCGCCCGCCGCGGTACCTGATGGTGATTTGTCGACTTCGGCTGAGGTGATGCGTGCGTGCTGCGTCGAGGAGGCGTTCTCCCGCGTCGACTACATGTTCGACCCCGTGTACTCCAAGCGCGCGTTTGTGCGCTGGTACGTCGGCGGGGGCGTGGGGGCGAGTTCTCAGAGGCCCGCGAGGATCTGGCTGCGCTGGAGAAAAATCCAAGGAAGTTGGCATCGAAACCGTTGCGGCGGTGGGCCCCGCGGTGGGCGAGGAGGAGGGCTGCGGCGACGAGCTCTGGGCCAGACTGTTCAGCTGCAGCCATGCTGGCGCGACCCGGCTACTGAATGACTTAGCGTGACAGTTGTGTGGCGTTCCAGTGGCGAGTGCCGTATGTTTGCGGTGTGCAGCGTCAGTGTCCAGCCTTGTCAGAGCGATCGTGCCGCCGCATTGCTTCCATTGCGGTGGCGAGCTCTGAGTGGATTCTTTCTGTTCAGCGCAGGCGCACTTCTGAGAACCAGTTGTTGAGTCTCACTCTAAGTTGGTCGACTTCGTGACGACTTTGAGCAAGGAGGACATGCCGCAACAAAACGGTCAGGGGGCGTTCAAAGCCTTGCAATGAGTCCAAGCGCGGATGCGTTCCTGAATCATCTGCGGCCCCCCTAAGGGAGTGTTCTGATCTTGGTTCTTCGCGTGGGCTGGCACCTGTGTCTCGCCTCGCCGCGCGGCGCGCCAGGGCCGGGCAGGGCTCCCTTGCGTGGCGCACTGCTGGCCCCCCCTTGGGCCCGTTCGCCCCGCCGCGTCTCCGGCCGCAGTCGCCCGCGCGGGCCCCGGGAGGCCGTTGATGTGCACTGGGCTCCCCTCGACGACGTTTCTTGTCGACCCTGGGGCCCGTCGGGGGGGCGACGGGGCGTTCGAAGGAACATGGCGCAGCGGTGTGTATGTATTTATCGAGGGTGGAGTTCAGCGGGGGCGGGCAGGTGGGAGATCGCGGCGTCGATCGTGGCGTTGCATGCGAATTCGGGCTCGAGGGTGCACGATCGCCGCGTCAGGAACACTGCTGCGAGCAAGCAGTTTTCTCCATCTACATCTCTCCGAGCCGCGATGGCTCGGACTCCCGAGGAGGTTGCAGCCATTCTTAGATTGGCTGATGCTGCGCGATGGGTGGGTCTGTCGGCAACGCCGCCAGCGTGGAACGGGGCGAGCTCGCTGACTGCCCTCCTGACGTCGCTCGGATACGATGCGGCAGCGCCGATTCGCCAAGTGGCGATTTGGCCGCAGGAGGAGCGGGGGCAGCTCGTCGGCCAGGCCCATATTGATGGCAAGCGGCCCGCTGCCGCCATTGTGGCGCAGGTGTGATTGTTTGGGCCAAATCTGCAGGATTATGGCAGGTACGCATGTGCGCGATGCGGGGGCCAGGCGTGGCGCTCGGCTGTTCCTGGTGGTGCAGGCGCAGCCTCCAGTTGGGCCTCCGACGCAGCGGTAGCAACCGTCGACCTGCAGGCTGTTTGCACTTTTCGATCAGATTGCCGACGAAGAGGCTGTCAAGCTGGGCTCGGTGGAGATCGAAGCGCGCTGCGCGCGCTGCGCTCAGCGCCTAGGTGGCGCGCCGCCAGCAAATCATGGGCCGGCGTTGGGGCTGCCGCCCCCGACCCCGCTGTGTTCTTGGAGGGGGGGGGGGCTCCTGTAGGGGTCGCGTCGAGCCTTGCGCAGCGAGGCGCGCCCCCGACCGTTGGCATTTCGCGTGTCGGGCGGATTCGCGGGCAAGGCGCGAGCTGTCGGCCTAGCTGCGGCGCCGTTTCGCGCAGGAGAGGCGCCAGTTTGGGGGTCCTAGTGCCCGCGCGTTCGAGCCCGTCAAGCTGTGGGATCGCGCGTGCAGGAGCCTGTCGGGGAAGTTCGTGCTCTGGAAGCGGGTGTTACTGGGCCCAGGCCTTGTGATTATGGCAACCGTCAGGGCGGCGGCTGCTGGCGCAGTTTCGCGGGGGGCCCCCGTGGCTGCCGGTCCCGCGGGGATTATCGCGGGCCCCGCCGCCGGCTGCGCCGGGCCAGCAAGGCAGCTGGGCGACGGCAGGGCCCGCGGCAGAAGGGGCGCCTGGGCCCGCGGCAGGGCCCGCGGCAGGGCCCGCGGCAGAAGGGGCGCGGTCCGTGCCCCCTAAACCCGAACAACGTGCGCCAGTGCAGCCGGTGTCTGGGGCCGCGTCCAGCGCTGGCCCCTCCTTGCCCGAATTCTCTCAGTGTGGGGGGGGGGGGGCAAGGGCAAGGGCGGGGGCGAGAAAGGCAAGGGCGGTAATCGCAGGCGCGCAGGGGGGCCGTCGGCAGATTCTGAAGCGCGCCCGTCCGACCCCCCCCACTTCTGGTTCAAGGGGGGGCCTCCCGGCCCGCCTGGGATACTCCTGCGGCGGTTCTGCCAGCTGAGGCGCCCAGCGCAACGAATGCGTGTGCTGCTGAGAGCGGCGCGTCCAACGTGGCGCCAGCGCTTTCGGCCATCGGCGCAGGTCCCGCGGTCGGTGGTCTGAGTGTTCTCCTTCTCCCCCGCCTCCTTCCACCACCCTCGCTTCCATTCCTTCGTCCGCTTCGCCGCTGGGCTGGCGTCCGCGCGCCGCGGGTCGTGGAAGCGCGGTTGGACGTGCATCCCGGGTGCTCCCGGCCAGGGGCAGGGTGGAATATCGGCTTTGGAGGCTGGGCGAAGTGTGCATATGCGGAGGTGCCCGTCTGTTCGCGCGCCCGAAATGCCGCGGCCCCGTTAAGATTGTCGCCGTCGCGCAGCAGAGCGACGGCGATCGCCGAATTCGAGGAGCATGTGCGTCAAAATCCCAGCTTTCGAAAGTGACCTTTGGGGCCTAGTCGATGCGCGTTGCCGTGCCATTGCCTTGTAATTTCCCGTTGCCCATCCGACGCTTTGATTTTGCAAGGGGGGCGCCAGGCCTCCGAGCATCGGCCTGCTTTGCGGCGCGTTCGTGACGTTTCGCTTTAAGATGTATTTGCGTGGGGGTCCGAGCGACTTGATATTTCTGACGTGTGGCGCTGCTCTGGGGGCGAAAGCTCGGTGTCTCCGTCGCCTCGCGGGCGCGCGATGCCGGTGGCGGCCCGCGGCGCGATCTTGCAGACGAGGCGACCTGGAGGGGCGTCGCGTCCGCAATCCTCTCTGGAGGGGGTGGGCGTTGTCCTGTCTTCGTCTCCCTTCTGCGCGTTTGGGCGTCGATGCTGCGTGGCCCGGAAGGCCCGGGCCGGCGCGGCCAGACGGGCCTGGCCCCTGGCGATCGTATCTGGGCGCGCTCCTGGTGGCGAGGGCTGCGGAGGCGGCCGGGCGGGCAATCGATCGTGTTGCGCCGTGGCTGGCCGCGCAGCCCCCCCTGCGCCCAGGCGTGCCGCGCGAGTGGTGTGCGGGCGAATAGGAGTCGCCATTGTAAGTGGACCAGTGCATCTGGAATCTGGCGGCGCGCGATTTTGTGGCGAGGCTCGCGCGGGGCGTCCCTGGAGTGATGCGCGTGTGGGTCGGAAGGCGTGAGCGATGGCTTGGGCGGCGCCCCCGAACTCCTGGCGTTCTCTGCTCGCGCGGAGACTTGTTTCGCAGCCGTCGAGGCCCGTGGGGGGATTGACATGTCGCGTCCGATATCTTCGCCAACCTGGCGCCGCGAGTCCCATCTTGCCGTTCTCGCGGCGGATTTGTCTCACCGCGCCTCCTGCGTCAGCTGCTGCCGTGATTTGAGAGCCGGCTCCCTTTCCGGGCTTCGAGGCCCGCGGTCCGCAGTCGCCAGTTTTCCGTCCATCGGCGTCGAGGGCCCCCGAGAGCGACGCGCGGTAGGGCGCGTTCTGCGCGGCCGCCTAGACGCGCAGAAACTGGCGGTCGAGCGCGGCGCTCAAGTACTTGGGTTCCGACGCTGCGCGGCGCAGCCGCCGCGCGAGGACGCGCGCGCTCCGCGCGTGGGCGCGCGCCCTCGGTGGGGGCTTCTTCCAGGAAGCGCCCCGCCCGCTGAATTTGGGCATTGGTTTTCTGGGCGCGCGGGGCCGCGTTGCACGTGGCCCAGGCGATGCCGTGATCCAGTGGGTAGTCTACGGTTTTCCGGCAGGGCTCGCGCGCAAGCCGTAGGGCCGTGGCATTTTCGCGTTGGGATTGGTCTCGGAGGCGTCTCCCCCCGGGTGGCTCTCTCTTTGTGGATCGCGACAGTGGCTTCGCGAACTACGACGGCGTGGAGGGCGGCGAGGACATCGCCGAGGAGCTGCAGGTGTTGGAAGCTGACGGCAGGCTTGCTGCTTGCCCTTCCTCGGACCAGGTCAGGCGCGCGGTGGGCGCGGCCGTCGCGCTGGCCGAGGTTCAAGAAGAAATCTCACTGCATAATCGAGAAACGCATCGTCGTATATTCTCGGCAGTCGGGCATGGCCCTGGCCACGAGTAGGAGTGAGCGAGTTTTGTTGCCGCGGCTGGTTGACCATGCGTGCCAGGCGCTCCGTCAGATGTAGCGAGCCGAGCGCGATGTTGGCACGGGGCGGGCGGTCCTGGATTTCGAGAGCGCGTTCTTTCTGATGCCGCTGCGTGCTTCCGAGCGCAGAATCTTCATGCTGAAGTTCTGGGGCCGCTTGTTGGCCTCCGTGTTTGCCCCGCAGGGCGCGGCGCTGCCCCCATTTACCTCGCGTCGCTGGGCAGCGCTGGTAGCGTGGCTCGCACAGGGCACGTGTTGCTCGACATCGCTGTTTCTCAGCGCTTATTTTGGCGACCCATGCGTGGCCGTTGCAGGCGCGAAGGCCCGCGGACATCTCAGGATCGCCGCAATGTTTTGAAACGCGCTGGGGTTCCCGCTATCCCATCAGAAAGCTGCGAGAGGCGTGGGGGTGATTTGGATCGGCGGCGCCTTCGCGCTCTCCCGCGAGATGGTGGCCGTCTGGTGCAAGCGCGCCATTCTGGAGGATATGGGGCACGCGGTAAGCCAGGCGCTTGAGAGCAACGTCTGTTCGCGGAAGGTTTTGCGCAGCTTTGCGGGCAGGGCTTCCTGCGCGGCGTCGGTCATATTGGGGGCGCTTTTTCCGCGGGCGGCAGGGGGGCTCCGTCTCAATGCGCGTGGGTGCGCCATGTCGAGGGGTCCTGGCTGTGGCGTAGCGTTTTTCTCATTTGCGCGGGGGGCGCGCTCGTGCGGAAGTTCGTCTTGGCGGATTTTCTTAACGAGGACGTGCTTGTCTCCGTCGCCCTGGGTGCCTCTGTCGGGGCTCGGGGCTCTGGGCGATGCGGGCCGCGCTGTCGAGTGGTATGCTATGCCGCTGGACAACCGCGACGTGGCCATCCATGGGTTCCAGCTCAGCGACGCTGCCGACCAGCAGACGTAGGAGACCCTCGCCGTGCTGGTGGCCTTCAGGTTCTGGGTGGTCTGGATGGCGTGTGTCCTTGTGCGTCAGGGGCGACAGTGTCACAGTGCTGACCATGCTGCTCTCGTCTCGGCCAGCCGCGCGCAACGGCTCCCTGGGCCTGATTGCCAGGGAGGTTGTCCTCGACGTGGCGAGCGCGACTTACGGCGCAGACGTGGTCGAGCACGTCCCCCGCTCGCGAAAATCGCAGCGGGCGCGCTCAGCCGCCGCTTTGCACCAGATGCTGCAGCGCGGACCTACCCCGCTCGTCGCCGGCGCTTCGGAGACGCGCCCGCTTCCGAGAACCGAGGCATTTTGCGCCGCCGTGAGGGGTGCGGCTGCCTGCGCGGCGTCAGGCAAGCCAGGAGGCTCCAGGTGGCCAGGCGCGGCTGGAACACGCGCCTGCGTCGAAAGATTTGCAATGATGCGCGGTGGGGCAAGCGTCTGCCCGTGCCATTCGTGGGCACCCCACGGTGCATGCGACATGCTTCGCGCGCCCTGCGTTTTATCCAGCGGCCTGACTGCGCGCGCGGCCCCATGTCTGCTGCCCGCGTGCACTTTTTTAGCAGAGCGCTCAGGTTTCTCGCCGCGTGGATGTGCCGCGCGGAATCGACGCTGCGACGGGCACCTTTTTTTGGTGTGCTTGATGCTGGGCACTCGGACGTTCCTGTCGCGTGGAGTTGCCAGGTTGTGCGATGCCGTGGATAGAATGCATCTCCCACGCATGCGTCGCGTCGTCATCTCTGTGCCTCGGCAGCGCGTGGAGTATCGAGATTTCTCCACGGGGCTCGGAAGGCGCCTCTGCCTCGTTCGGCGACCCAAGGGCGCCGCGGTACGAACGCGGATTTTCCGATTGGTCGGCCAGGCGATTGTCGGCCCCCCGCGCGCAGGACAGGTCCGCTTGTGGACGTGCAGTCTACGGCATGCTGCGCCCTTCGTTTCGGCCGCGCTCGCGGGACGTGGCTTCTTATTACTAGCAGGGCGAACGCCACGTCAACTTTGTTACCCATGCCATGCTGTCTTCGGAGAAATCAATCGTACCTTTGATGACGATTCGCGTGCAGTCCGCATTGAGGGGACGCGTCTGCGTCAGATGTCATACCTTGGCAGCGGTACACCTTGACCTATGCCCGCGGTCAGCCTCGTGGCGCAAGGGTGCCCCACGGTGCACGTGGCGGCGTTTTCGCGTGTTGCCGATCAGCCCTGACCACGGTGCCGCAGTGCTCAGCAACCACGGTAGCCATGGTTGTGCGTCTCCCTTTAACCATGTGCTGTCTGGGGAAGGGTCTCGAAAGTTCCGCTGTCTCTGGGGCGCAAGTGCGGGCAGCCACTTAACCTTGGCGTTTTCGAGGCGCATTTGGATTTGCACTTGCCGTTTATCTTCTTGTGCGTGATCTCGACCACGCATGTGCGCAGCTTCGTGGTGCCGCCCACGTGCCTGCAAGGAAAATGCTGCTTCGTGGCGTCGTCCACGTGCACTGGCGCGCGAAAGATATCGTTTTCCACTATCTCATCGTAAGCGTTTTTGTTCGGAAAGCTGCGATGAGTCGCCCCACTAGATAGCGTCGGCTCATCGGGGGCACCCATGCTGTACTCCCGCCTGCGCATGGGCCGGGCGAGGCTCCAGCGCCCCTCGCTGCGTCGCCACGCGGTGGGGTTGCACCACCACGCAGGGGCTTGTTGGGAGGCAGGCGCCCGTCGCTGCGTCGGCACACGTCGGAGTTCCATCGCCCGCCGATGGCCGTTGGCCACAGCCTGCTCGAGTTGGAGCCTCATCGTGCCTTGGGCTTGGCGCTGTCATTGCCTCCTGGCTCGGCCGCAGTTGATGGCAGGGCCAAGTTCCTCTGTTTGTGCAACGGCAGGCTCGCTTCCTTCCGCTCCCCCACCGCCGCTCCCCCACCGCAGTTGCCGCAGCTGGCTCCTAGGCGGGACGCCCCCGCGATCGGATGCACACCGGGCTCCCAGGGAGCTGCGTGCGCTGCAGTCCCAGACCTAGCCATGAAGGAGGCATTGCTCAAGGATCTGGATGATGACATTCTGTCGCAGTTGTCTGCTGCGTCCTCCGTTTGGGTCCTGAGGACGTGGGTGGAATTCCACAAAGCGTTTCTTTTCCCGTGCGCCAGCCTTCTGACCTGGCCTGCATCTGTCCCTGCAGTGGCCGCCCACATGAAAAAGCTGCGCTGTAGAATTGGGCAAATTATGCTTCGCGGGCTAAGTGGGGACACATGTAGGCGGGCGGTGTTCGGGACCAGGCGTTGGACATCGCGCCGTCTAGGCAGTCGGCGTCGCTGGACGTCGAGGCCGTTGCATTAACGCATTTGCCTGTAGAGCCGCTCTGTGCGGAGGCCCTGTGCACCCGAAGGCGTTGATCATCCTCGGCTCGTTCTTCCTCGCCTGCAAGATCGAGATATCGCTGTCGTTATGCCGAAATGTCGGCATCCCAGAAAGTCCCGTGGTATCTTGGGTACTGCTGGCCTCCAAGGCGACCCCGGCGGCGAATATTGTCATTCGGGAGTGGGGCTCCCTATGTGACAGCGTGGGGGCAAGTTTTGGCCCGCACATGTGGCAGTCGACCATGGCAGAGTGATGGAGGATAAGTTCGGACCGCGGGAGTCTTGACCAGCAGAGCTGCATTGGTTCCCGACGGTTCCAGGCACGGTGGTGCACAAAAAAACAATATGAAGTGGACACCATCGAGTTGGTGGCAGAGTTGCGTTGTACAAGTCGGCACTTCATGCCCGGTGGACGAGGCCTATTATAGTGTGTTATGTCGCTGAGGCGCCTATGGCTGGAATCGCTGAGGATGTCCGGAGGCTCGTGAAGGGCCTGTCGGAGTACCACATTTTGATGGTGTACGGCAGGATGTGGAGCGACCACGACGACGATCGGCGACTGATCTGTTTCATCACAGATTTGGTCGGCTTGCGGTGCAAGAGGAAGTGTCCCTCAAACGGATTGAGGAGCTACGCGCCTCGCTGCGCCGGCCAGGTGCTCCCTTGCCGAGGGTCGTCCAAAACCTGGCCAGCGGCACCTGGCACCGAATTCTCGTGGATGGGGCCGAGCACCATCCTGGAGGACTTGACGTCGATGTCATTCTGGCCACGGGAGGGTCGCTCGTGCAGAGGCAGCGCCCAGCGGCGGGGTCGACGGCTCGCTTTCTGATAATGCTTCGAGCCAGTGGGTTGCTAGTGGGTGCTTGGGAGAGTCGTCTGGTTTCCACGGGTCGTGGTGCCAGGGCAGCCCAATTGCTCACGTGGAGGCAATCAGCACATCACAGCGGAGGGAGAATCGACTCCCACAATCAACCTAGAGGGAAAATAATTTCCTTAGCTTCCTCTTGCCTCGAGTGGTGGGTGGTCGGTGTTCCCTCCTCCCGCAACTGATTGGAAGGAACAAAGTGCAGCGGTGTGCATGTAACAATCAGGGGACGAGTTCAGGGGGGCGGGCGGGTAGCAATTTGTGGCGTTGATCGTGACATCGTATGCCAATTTGGGCTCAAGGGTGCGCCATCGCCACGTCATCAACACCCGCCCGCCCATCCCTGGATGCTTGGGAGAGTCGTCTGGTGTCCACGGGTCGTGGTGTCAGGGCAGCCCCTCGGTTCACGTGGAGGTAACTTTTCCAGCACATCACAGCGGAGGGAGACGGCGACTCCTACAACCAATCAATGGAAATGTGATCCCCTTAGCATCCTCTTGCCTGGAGTGGAGGGTGGTGGTCTTCCCTCGTCCCGCCAAATTTTTGGAGGCCGTGGCGATGGGGGGTCTTTGGGGTGCGGTGGAGGAGGAGGAGGAGGAGGAGGAAAGGGGGCTGAGGAGGGGGGGAAATGAGGAGAAGGAGGAGGAGGAGGAGGAGGAGGAGGAGGAGGAGGAGAAGGAGAGGAGGGAGGAGGAGGAGGAGGAGGAGGAGGAGGAGGAGACGGAGGAGGAAGAGGAGGAGACGGAGGAGGAAGAGGAGGAGACGGAGGAGGAAGAGGAGGATTGGTTTGGAGTCATCGGGGACGGCGAGGAGAAACGATGCTGGTCGGTGATGGTGGGGTTCCCAGAGGCGTTCTTCGAGAGCCGGCTCGGATCCGCGCTTTCGGCGGCCGTCCCGAGGCTCCACTCGGGGGTGATCTCTCCGGGTTCGCTGCGTGGCTGTGCGTCGTGGGGGCCCTCCGGAGCCCTTCCTCCGCCCGCCGGCCTGCCAGCGAAGGCCAGGGCCGGGACCGTCGAGGGTGTCTCGGGGAAGCCTGCTGCGTGGCAGTCTCGCTAAAGAGGCCGTGCCCGCGGTCTCACGCGCGATCCGCAAGGGTTCAACCCACCAAGCAATCTTCCCCTTCCCCCCCTGTCAATGTATGTGCTTTTCCCTAGCTTTTTCCCTTGTGGATCTTTCTCGTCTTCCGCCTCCTTCTTGCCTGCAAGTGCGCAAAGTCAAATTTATTGGGATGGGAAGAACTTTCCCCTGTCCACCGCCTGAGTATTGAAAGACCCGCTTCATCCGCGCAGGGAGGCGGGGACTAGAGGTCCCCCCCCTTCAGCCCTCCACCCCCTGCAGAGAAGGGGAGGGAGGGGAAGGGATACGTGGGAGCAAGGGGTGCGTAGCGTGTCTGTGAATTACCCATCCCTTCTCTTGCCCCGTCCTGTGTCGACCGGGGCGCCTCGCCCAATGGGAGGACGGTATGGCTTCTCTTGTGAAAGACAAGCGTGGGAGTTGGCGCCCGAAATGGCGAAGCTGCTAGAGTTCTGAAGCAATTCTGCTTATGAGTACGTTGACCGCGTGTGGCGCTGATTAGCTTTAGCTTTCCTTCGTTTCACACCCGCTTCCTGCAACGCGGCTTTCCTGGATCAAGGGCAGAAAAAACGCCCCTACCCTGGTTTACGAGGCGCTGTGCGCTGAAACTCCTGTGGGCTGACAGGGTAAACCCTGCGTGATGTGCCGCGTCCTGGCGGCTCTAGGCTTTGGGGGTTCCCAGGAGGTTTACAGACCACGCACTTGTAACCCAGGGTAGGGTCGTTTTTTCGTCCCTCAACTGGAGGCCAGCGGGTTGGCGCGCCTGCCGCTGTTCTTGGGTCTCCTCTGGGCGACAGCAGACTCGTTGGTTCGTTTGTTCCTCTCTTTTCCTGCTCCCCCTTGCCGTTTTCATCGGAGGGTCATTAGGAGGGAGAGGCTGGAGCAGGACACTGAGCAGGAGGAGTAGGAAGAGGTAGGTGCTTTAGTAGGACCAGGAGTAGTAGAAACAGCGGGATTCACATGATCATGATGGTCAGGACGATGATGAGGGTTGTGATGATGAGGAGGATGGAGACGGACATGAGGAGGACGAGGAGGATGAGCAGGAGGAGGAGGAGGAGGAGCTTAGGGCGATGGTGATGAGGATGATGATGGCGATGATCTTTAGGAGGATGCTGCTGATGATGATGATGATGATGATGATGATGGCCACGATCGAATTACCATAATGACGACAATGCTGACGATGATGACGATGGTGGCGACGACGGCAGTGGTGGCGATGACAATGATGATGATGATGATGATGATGATGATGATGATGATGATGATGATGATGATGATGATGATGATGATGATACGGATGGTGCGGATGCTGACGATGGTGATGGACATGATGGACAGTATGATGCTGATGATGATGACGATGATGATGACGACGATCATGTGACGGTGATGGCGATGGTGATGGTGATGTTGATGATGATAATGAGGAAAATGATTGGATTATTATGATGATGCTGACGACGACGATGACGATGACGATGATGATGATGACGATGCTGATGCTGATACTGATGCTGATGCTGATGCTGATGCTGATGCTGATTTCCATCTTTATTTTGATTTGTTTTGTTGTTGAAGATGATGCTGATGAGGAGGATGATGATGCTGATGATGTGGTGATAGGGGGTTTCGGTGATGGTGATTGTGGTGAAGATGAGGAAGAGTAGGAGGAGGAAGGCAGGTGGCCCCTAGGAGGAAGAGATTGAGTTGGAGGAGGATGGCGATCGTCAACGACGAGGCCCCGCCACCATTGCCTCGCTACCCCGCCAAGGTCCTCGCTGCGCCGCCCCTCGCGTCGCCAGGCCAGGCGCTTCGAGGAGTCTGACGCCATCCGGCAGGACTCCTGGCCTCCGAGCGCGCCGCGCGCGGGGGGAGGGGTGGCCAATCCCTCCAGACCTCCCATGTGGAGAGCCGAGGCCTTCGGGTTGGCAGCTGTAGTCGTATAGGTTTTGTACACCCGTATGCGAATATTCGAGTAGAGTTACCCTCGTGTGTGTGTGTGTGTGTGTGTATGTATGCAGCTACCCGCGGCAAGTCCCGTCACCCGTGCCATCCCAGCGTTCTGGGTGGAGACTGTTCGACGGGGCACGGGAGGCCGTCATGTCTGACACCTCGTGTCTCCAGGCTCTGGAGAGCCGTGACGAGGATGATGAGGATGATGAGGATGATGAGGATGATGGGGACGATGGGGATGATGATGATGATGATCATGGAGGTGATGATGATGGTGATGATGCTGATGATGATGATGACGATGATGATGATGATGATGGTGATGACGATGATGACGATGATGATGCTGCTGCTGATGATGATGCTGATGATGCTGAGGATCTATGGTGTCGCTGACGATGATGGCGCTGATGATCGATGGCGATAGCGATGATGAAGCTGCTGCTGCTGCTGATGATGATGATGATGCTGCTGCTGCTGATGATGATGGTGGTGGTGGTGGTGATGATGATGATGGTGGTGATGATGATGATGATGATGATGATGATGATGATGATGATGATGCTGATGCTGCTGCTGATGATGGTGGTGGTCATGGTGGCGGGGATGGTGACGATTGTTTGATCGCCTCGCTCATTCCGCTGGCCCATATTGCGCACCTCGGTCGACTTGTCGAGTGGTCGTCGGCAGTGCGCCGCTTGGTGGTTTCTTGAGGGCCTCGTTGGGGTCTCTTGGGCCCTCTCGGGGGCGTCTTGTGGGCCTCTTGGGGCCTCTCGGGGGCCTCGTGGGGGCTTCTTGAGGGCTTCTTGGGGCCTCCATGGGACCTCTCTGCGCGTAGAGCACGACATGTCCGTTCGGGTCCCCCGTTTGGGCCCGCTCTTGGAGCCGTCTCGGGAGCCACTTCGGCCATCTTGGAGGCCTCCGGGGCTGTCTTGGGGCCGTTTTGGGCGCTCTTGGAGTCCTCTTGGGCGCTGCTGGGGCGATCCTCGAAGCCTCTTGGGTCGTCTTGGAGCGCTGGTAAGCCCCCAAGGCGAGAACGTCAAAAACCTCCCAAAACTGCAGCATCATCGCTACTTCTCCCTCTGTGGGCCCTCTTGGGAGGTCTCTTGGAGGCCTCTGGGGGCGTCTTGCAGGCGCTTTGGGCTGTCTGGAGGCCGTCTCTGGCGTCTTGGATCGCTCTTGGGCCGTCTCGGGCCATGTTGAGCTCTCTTGGAGGCCACTCGAAGCGCTTCTGGAACGCTCTTGGGAGCAGGCTGGGACCTGCCCGGGACCTGCCCGGGACCTGCCCAGGACCTTGCCCGGACCTTGCCAGGACCTTGCCGGGACTTGCCGGGACCTTGCCGGGGCACCTTTCGTCTGGGGACACCCAGGGGCGGCCCCGCGCGCGCGAACTAGAATATTGTTAACCAGTTATCGGAGATCTTAGCACGCCCTTGGCCTGTTGGGCCGGCGAATTCTGATATTGATGCTGATGCTGATGATGCTGATGATGCTGAGGATGATGAAGATGGTGGTGGTGGTGACGCTGCTGCTGCTGCTGCTGCGTCTGCTTCTTCTTCTTCTTCTTCTGATGATGATGATGATGATGATGATGATGATGATGGTGGTGGTGGTGGTGGTGATGGTGATGGTGGTGGTGGTGGTGGTGAGGCTGTCTTGGCCTACCCCTGTGAGGCAATCTTTGGGGTCCCTTGCGTCACTCTTCGGCCGTCTTGGGGCCCTCTGACGCCGGCGTGGGGTTCTCTTGGGCCATCTTAGGATCCTCTTCACAGTATGGTGGGTGTCCGAGGGCCGTCGTGGGGCCGTCTTGGGCCGTCGAAGGGCCTTTCAAGGTCATTTTTGGGTCCTACGGGAGGCCCTGTTGGGCCGTCTTGGGGCCGTCTTGGATGCCTCTTGGGTCATTGTGGAGTCCTCCTGGGCCGTCTTGAGCTGACGGCAGCCCGAAAAGGCCAGAATGCGAACATCATTCAACAACCCAAGGGGAATCAACGATTTTGGCTTCTTCGGACCCTGTTCGAGGTTTTCTTGTGGCTATTTTTGGCCCTCTTGCAGGCATCTTAGGCCGTCTTGAAGCAATCTTCGGTTACCTTAGGGCCATCTCGGGCCGTCTTTGAAGCATCTTGAGTCTTGATCAATATTGGTGTCCGTGGTCGCCTGCACGGGCCGTCTTGGAAGCTCGGGATGCACATCTATAGTTTTTTTTACGGGGGAACGTGGCTTGGGAGGCCCTGGAGCGCTTGGTGGGATCAGCGCCTGGGAATGCAGGAAGTGCAAAATCTTCGAGCGGGTGCGCGTGGGATGCGGGCTCTAGGAGGTAGCAGCCATGCGGGAAGTGCACCATCCTCGCGCGGGCGTGTGTGGAAGGGGGCTTCAGGCATCAGCTGCTGCCATGCGAGGAGTGCACCATTCTCTAGCGGGCACGCTTGGAAGGGGGGTTCAGGCATTAGCTGCCATGCGAGAAGTGCACCATCCTCGGGCGGGCACGAGGAAAATGCCCTCGGTGAGTAGTGGGGATGCACGCAACAGTCCGCTTGTAAGGGGGGACTCCTCTTACTAGAATTTAGAAAACCCTACCATACAGACCTTGGCATTCTTCTACGCCTCAACGTGCAAAAATCACGGTTGCGGATTTATGCATGTATCGCGTTGCATTCTACAGTAGTGTACTGTCGGGTGTATTGTACACTTTGGCATACGGTAGCACAGTGTAAGGTTTGGTAAAGTTTTTCATTGTCGGGCACTGTAGTGTAATGTGAGATGTGTGTGTGTGTGTGTGTGCATGTATGTATGCATGCACGCGTGCACGTGTGTGTGTGTAGTTTGTGTGTGCCAGCAAGTGCGATTTCTGTTAGTGCTTCGTCCCACTGTTTGGTGACGGCGATTTTTGGGCAGTCGTGCTCGCGGATACGAATCAACTCACCAAGACAGTCACCACCGATCAGCTGGCTTTTCCCCGAAAAGTCACGCAATTGGCAACGCTGGACTTGTGGCCGAACTCCAGAAGAGATGCGGCCTGGAAACCATGTCGCGCTGAGATGGGACCCTCTCTTGGAGGGGGCATGTGTCCCACGCGCACCACACTGGAAAGACAGGGCTGGCAACGCCCTCCTCAGGTCCCTCGGTGGAGAGGACAACACCGGAGTGTGGATTTCGGCTCATGGACCAAGCGCTGGCCCTGGAAGGTGAGACTAGCACATTCATGAGTTTCCAGCCGAGACGCTCGCAGCACTTCGCAGTGTCTCGAGGCTCCCTCCAGAGACCACCCACAGGCTGCATCAAGGCGGTTCAGCGGATGGCATCACTCGACAGTTTCCGCTGGAGCAGGGGGGGCCGCGCGGGATATTCGAGGACGAAAGCGATCCGGTATCGACTTTTGAGAGCGAGGCGACGGCACCTCATCCATACTTGAGGAGACCGCTAGTGACCCAACTCATAGGAGTCAACAGGATCATACCCAGGCAGGAAAGCTGTGCAGACGCGCCTCACCAAAGCTATGCCCGACGGGAAAATTCTCGTCCTGGTATGGAAGGCAAAGTTTGAGGATGGCAATGCAAGGTGGGCACTACCAATTGCCTCACTCTCTCGGGAAGAGCCCTCCAACGGCAACGGCTGCGACTGGGTATCCCGAATTCGTGAATTACTGTTTGGGCATAGATACAGAAGCAAGTCAAGCAACTGGGACATTGTGGACGGACTGCGGCACCGCGTTGACGTGGACAGTCACGTTGACGCCCCCCTTTGCATCATCCACCTGCCCGAGGGGGGTGCTGGTATATCGACCTCGATTCCAGAGGACGAGTTTTAGACTTTGTGCTTCGCCCAGGATGCGTTACGCTGTGCCCTTCAGGCGCCGCGACGTGGCATGGGCTGCGCACCAGTGGATGAGAGGGCCTCGTTGTATGATGGGAGTTCCTTCCTGGCAATCGCAGTGCGCGAGGCAGGGGTGCAGGGGCCAATGGGGGCCTGGTGGAGCCTTGCTCGTAGCACAATGGGCACTGTCCCAGGACAGCTAGTGTCAGTGCCGTGGGGGCATATGACCAGACTTGTTGATCACTGATAGTCGCATGCTGCTGCGGATGCACCCCGCCCGTTCGGCCACGGAAACGGCACTGTCAGCGGGGCTGTGCGTCAGAGCGGCGTTTCTTCAACCCGTCGTTCCACGCTCTGGATTCTGATCTAGTGGATCCGTAGCGCGCGCGGGTCGGAGCGGATGTCTGCGAACGGGCGACCAGCGGGGGCGCCCTTCGACCCCGTTCAGCGCGCGCTGGCTCAGCGCGTGCGGCGGCTACTCACGGGGGCGAGACATGGCGGGCAACGCGGCTGTGCGCTGGATGGCCAATGGCTGCAGCACGTCGAGGACAAACACTTCCTGGACAGGCAGCGATCCTTGCCATCACCACGTGATGGTTCTCGCCAGCTCTCCAGCCAAGTGCGGGCGCGACCGCGACCTGGGGGCTTCCCAGGCGCGGTCCAGGAGCTCGCCGTGGCGGAGGCGGATGGCGCCCCGAGCCCTCCCTTTTCTTGTCGCGTTGCCGCTCGTCCTGATCTGGGCGGGGCCTCGCGGCGGCATGGGAAATCATTATTTCAGCTGGGTGCCCGAGAAGGAGTTGCTTAGCTTGCTGGATTGATGTCGGGAGATGGGGCCCGAGGTCAACGCTCGCATGCAGCTGGCAGCGCGCGATCATGTTCACGACGGACGCGACGTCAATGTGGCGAACAGCGTCGGCAGCAAACGTCCTACAAACACCCGACTAACGTGGATGGGTCGCAGCCTGGCGGGCAGTTGGCGCGCCAGTCTTGCGGGGTGCAGAGAGCCCTGGCAGCTGCGGTGGCGCGCGTCATCAGCGCCAGGGGTATTCCCATTTCCACCGCGGCACGCCGGAGGACCCGCGCTCGTGGAGAGGT